CGAACCCAGGGCCTCATGCATGTGAGGCAAGCACTCTACCACTGAGCCACCTGGTCCCCCTGAGTTGTTCTATGTTTTTTTTTAAATAGGGGACAATTTTTAATGATGGCTAAGGAGATAAGTGTGTGGATATGATTAGATCATAACTGCTTAGGAATATCCAGGATTGGAAGATGGTTTGATTCAGTGTGAAGCCATCTTCAATGAAGGCCTAAGTGCTAAAGGAAACATATAGCCGTATCTGGTTGGTGACTACGAAAATGAAGTCATGAGCAATTCTCTGGGGATGATGCAAACAGCCCACAAACCAGTGAAGTTCAGGGGCACACAAGCCAAGAAGCCTCACACCTTCTGAAAGGCAGAGTTGGAATAGACCAGCTCTCCTTTCGTGTGCTCTTTCTTTTTTTTAAATTTTTTCTTCTTTTCACATTTCCAGGGTGCAGTTTCTCGAGGTCCACTCTGAGTTCTCTTCTAAAGGTTTCTTTATCATTTAATATTATAAATAATTATGTTCCCAGGCGGCAGTTCAAAGCTCACTGCCGCACTTGTACTACACCCCCGGGCGGGTCAGGTGACCTTTCTCCCAATTCTGCTCTCTCTGATCCCGAGGACAGACAAAGTGATGTGTCTGTCACACGCCATTACCATTAGAACAGAATCTTGTTCTTTTATTACAACTGAACTCCGCCAGATTTCTCAGCAGGAATGCTAAGTGAAATCAATGTCTTGGATTTCCAGGCTGAGCTTGGGGTCAGAGACACTCTATCATTTCTCGGTATTATTCTTCCTTTCACAGCCCCACAGTCCCCTCGCCTCCAACTGGCACACAGCAGATTAAAAACAGCAGGCCACAGAAGACTCATGCTGCCCAGTTTTACAGTCTTTGGAAACCCCTCCTTTTGATCTCCCTCTCTCTTCCCCCCCCCCTTTTTTTTTTGCAAATTGCAAATAAGTTTTGTTTATGGGAGCTAAGGCAAAAGGCACATCCAGGAAGGAGGGCAGGTGATAAAACTCAGAGAAAGAAATCACTTGATTTTTGACAGCTGTCAGCAAGATCGCTGCGCCTAGAGGAGCTCCCGGATAGAACTTCCCCTTCCCGAGCCATTGTTCCAAACGGCAAACGTCCTTTATTATTTCACCCATCACGTCAGGGGATGGTTAATGCTGAGCTCTCAGGTGATATGCAACTGTTCTATACTAATAGAGATATGAAACAAAAATGACCCATAAAGCATTCAGCGATGTCCATACCTCCCACAGGACACTCATACTTGATTCTTTTTTTTTAAAAAAAAAAAAACAACCCTTCACGCTCTCATGTAGAAATGTTGGTCTCAGGTGATGAGAATACCAATTCACAGGTTGTCCTGGGCCTTTATTCGCTGGGTGTGCTCTTCATGAAAATGACGGAGATGATATTAACTGGGCGTGGCTGTTTTTGTTGTAACTTACTTTGTTTTGTGCTGGTACTGGGAGCTTGAACTTAGACCTTTTTGCTCTTATCTTTCTTAATCAAGGTTGGTGCTCTACCACTTGACCCACACTTCCATGTCTGGTTTTTTGGGAGGGTAATATGAGTCTCATGGACTTTGATGCCTAGGTCAGGCTTTGAATCAGTATCCTCTGAGGAGTGACTAGAATTTCAAGGGAGAGCCATCAGCACCCAGCTAGCATGGATATTGTGTGTGTGTGTATGTGTGTGTGTGTGTGAGTGTGTGTGTGTGTGAGTACTTGGGCTTGAACTCGGGTTCTAGGTGCTACCAGTTAGCTCTTTTGCTCAAGGCTAGCGCTCTACCACCTGAGGCACGGTGCCACTTATGGCTTTTTCTGCTTGATGTGGTGCTGAGGAATCGCACCCAGGGCTTCGTGCATGCTAGGCGAGTTCTCTACCAATGAGTCACAGTCCAGCCCCTGAAGACTAATTTTAAAAACTGATTGGACTCCAGAGCTAAACTTTATATTTCTAAATTATATACAATCCAGGCAATAGAAGCAATCATTCAGATTGAATAGATAGAGGTATAAAATTGTAACCTGGGACCAAACTTTTAACATGAACCAAACAACTGAACTCTTGTGTGCTGATTACATGTGGTGGCGATGCCTAAGGGAATATACTGCCTTGTAGCTCATAAAAATGTTTCCTGTCTATGGCAAAACAAACCTTCTGCGATTGGCCAGTGTTACCTCAGAAAGAATCAGTAAACATTTGGATGGATAGTTGGATGGATGGATGGGTGGATGGATGGATGGATGAAAGGATGGATGGATGAATGGATGGGTGGATGGATGGATGGATGAAAGGATGGATGGATGGATGGATGAATGGATGAGCAGATGGATGGATGAGGAGGTACATGGCTGGGAGGCTGGATAAGTGGATGGATGGATGGATTAATACATAGATGGCTAGGTGGATGGATGAGTAGATAGATGGTTAGGTGGATGGATGGGTGGATGACTGAGAGATGGATGAATGACTGGATACATACATGGATGGCTAGATGGGTAGATGGGTGGATAGATGGATGGATAATTGTATGAATAGATAGATGGGTAGCTGGATGGAGAGATGGCTGGCTAGCTGAATGAATGAATGAGTGAATAAACAATGAACAGGAACGAGTGGACAAGACTGTTTGACATTCAAAACTTCCTAATTATTTGTAGAAGTGATTTGGTGAGAAGATATTCCTGATACAAAGAGTAAGAAATAAACAAATCTGCTCATCAATGTAAAAGTGATAGACATGCTACCCTAAAATCCTAATGTGTGACGCCCTATTGTAAAGCCTCCTCATGAAACATGGCGTCTGCACTAGTAAATCCAAGGGAAGAAACAGAGTACGGTAAGGCTTCAGTGTCACGCTGTGCTTGAAGTCAGCCTGTCTGTGCAACACATTACAACTGCTGGCCCGTGGAGACACTGAAATACCACTGCCTTAGAACTCAACTTCATCCCATACGGGTTACCATGATCACCCCATTCGAAAAAAATCTACGCACTGCTGCGATTAGCGAGCAAAGCAGGCTGGGACTTGGACTTGAACATTCAGCGCAGACTAAAGGACATCAATGCACAGCTGAAGCAGGACTTCAAAGGGGTGTGTGGCTTGCCTCTCCTGTCCCTGGTAGGCAAGGAGGTTCACTGTGGATTTTCACACGATGCCAGTGGTCATGGTGCACGGTCTTTGTCTACATCATGTTAGAGTCCCAAATGGACTTCTCATTTAACCACACAGAAAGGGAGCTGGACATTGTGGGAGAATGGGAGGGTTTTACAGGAGCATCCTTCACTAGCCAGTTGGATGGAGAAAGACTATATTTACTTGTTGGACTTCTTTTCCCTCACATTATTTCTGATAATTCATTTATCTGGTGTGTTTCGTGTGTGTGTGTGTGTGTGTGTGTGCACAGACTAGTATTGGGACTTGAACTCAGGGCCTCTCCCTTTTTTATGGCTTTTGTCTTTTTTTTTTTTTTTGCTCAAGATTGGAGCTTTACCTCTTGAGCCACACCTCCACGGCTGGGTTTTTGGTAGTTCACTGGTGATAAAGAGTTTCGCAGACTTTTCTACTCAGGCTTGCTTTGAACCGCGAGTCTCAGAACTCAGCTTCCTGAGTATCTAGGATCCCAAGCTTGTGTGTTTCCTTCAACTACTGTGTCTACTCTGATCCAAATCATTTTAGGAGATCACTGCAATCCATGGAATGCAGAAGGGAGGCAAACTTGATAGGAAAACGTATTATTGGGTGCTGAATTAACGTTCAGTTTCCCACTTAATGTTTTCTAGTATAGTTGGACTACTAGGAGAGAGTCTCGGCATGGAAAACTGTGTGGTCATTCTGCCCGCTTCACAGGAAGCTTAATGTATTCACAGAATGTAATGTAAGTTCAACAAATGCAAACACATTTCACATCTATTTCTCTGCTTCTCCCTGAGACACATACATTAAGACAAAATGGTTTCTAAACAGTCTCACTTCTAACACTATTATTATCTTTATTTTCATTACATGATAATCTCAGTGGATGAGTGAAGAATCTGTATCTAAAATTGCAACGATGCTATTCCACATTATAACAGTTATTGATATTTCATTTTAAAAACACTCCATATGTCCTAATCCTACTCATATTTTAGGAGCTATTTCAGTCGCTCCTTCCTTGGCAAACACAATCACTTGTGACTGAAGATAGGCTCTTCCAACATATTCTAACTATGTACTTCATAAAGTTCATTATTGTGGACCATACAGTATGATTACTTAGCTGTTTTGTACAAATACCTTTCTTTTTCTTTCTTTTCTTTTCTGTGTAGGAACTAGAGCTTGAGTGCAGGTCCTTAGCTTGTTCACTTTTTTACTCTACTACCTGAGCCACAGCTCCACTTCCGGATATTTGTTAGTTAACTGGAGATAAGAGATCCTCGTGGCTTTCCTTCTGAGCTTTGATCCTTAGATCTCAGTCTCTCGATTAGCTGGGATTACAGGTGTGAGCTATGGACATAGGTATCTACTGTTAAGACTGGCAGTCCTGTCTTAAATCACTGTATCTCACATATGTTCTAGGGGGATTTTGTTTTTTGGTCATGGGGCTTGAACCCTGGGCCTGGGCACTGTCCCTGAGCTCTTTCACTCAAGGCTGGCGCTCTACCACGTGAGCCACAGCACCACTTCTTGTTCTCTGGGTGGTTCATGGGAGGTAAGAGTCTCATGGACTTTCCTGCCCGGGCTGGCTTTGAACTGCGATCCTCAGATCTCAGCCTCCTGAGTTGCTGGGATGGCAGGCGGGAGCCACTGGGCCCCGCTTCTCACCTCTGTTTGTTGTAGCTGTGCTACATCTCCGCTCGCTGAACAAAGCCATGATTGAAAGCAGACCCCTATGTTTCCGCACAGGTGTCCTGGACATTTCCCTGGGCTCCCAGTCTAGCTGGCCGACCACAGCCCGCCGATAAGCCCCTGCGGGTGGGTGGTAAAACGCTTCGTGGACACAGGTACCTTGCTTTTGGGCGGCGGGGTGCTTGTGCTCTTGTCGGTGTGAATGCTGGTAGGAGATACAGAAGCACCGAGGTTGGCCTGGGCTAAGCCGGGCAGCTTCCCTGCAGGTGACACTTGCATGGCGGCTAGCTGGGCAGCATACAACTGCTGTGGGGGGAGAGAGAGCGAGAGGAGGCGCCCGTCAGTAATGCACCCATGCACCGCGGGACTCCACGCACCCCGCCTTTCCTCCGGGTGGTGCTGTGCATGTCCAGAGATGCTGAAGGAAAGGGCTGGTACCTCAGTGAGGCCATCTTGCAGCCCAGGGAGCAGGGGGAGAGAGGAGGGCCACCTGGAAGGAACGGGCATCGCCCTGTCTTGATGCAAAGCGAGCAGACTCATGGCCAGTGTCCATGGAAGGGGCAGGGCCTCGCTCCCCGGCCCCCTCCGCCTAACGCTCCCCACTGCGAATCCACAGTCCCCTACCCATCTCATCCCCCTGAGCATCTTTAACTTATTGAAATGGGTCGCCACCACCATTTTTCTGAGCATTCATGGCACCACAATACAGGCAATAAGAAAAAGAAGAACTAGAAATATTGGAACAGCGTTGTCTGGTCAGGCTACTTACACTGATAAATACACACACACACACACACACACACACACACACACACACAATAGATATAAACTGGGATGCTTGCCAGGAGTTCACTTTACTTCCTGATATAAACAGAGACAAATTTCAAATTATCTTGAGGGGTGGGACTTTTAAAGGAAACTCTCTAAGATATACATGCTTCCACTCAGCCGGCACTTAATAATTCTTATTAAGTAACCAAGTAAAGGGTCTTGAGCAAATGGTTAATAAATTAAAAGAAAATTTTACTTTTGCAGCGATAGATAGCCTTATGAGTCAGTGGAATCCTATTCAAATAATCATATCACACACTGAGATTAATACCCTAGAGATCTTCATTTAGTACTCTGCGAAGGTTTTAACAGTCTTGGTGGGAAATCAGTTATTAAATTTTACAACACACATGCGAATAGATGCATCCAATAGATACGTCCTCCGTTCCATTTGTCTTGAAATTCCATGGGTACCTTTTACCATAGTAGTTGGAACTTCTGTAATAACACAACTTATATAAAGAACTAATGTGAAATACTCCTGTAAGTGACTTGATTTTTTTTTCAGAAGAAGATCTTTTTTATTTTTGTTGCCAGCACTGTGTCTTAAACCCAGGGTCTAGGTGTCTGTGGGTTAACTGTTTTGCTCAAGGCTGAAGCTCTATGATTTGAGCCACACCTCCACTTCTGGCTTTTGTTTTTAATAGTTAATTGGAGTCTCACAGAGTTTATCTTAATCCTGAGATCTCAGACTACTGAGCAGCTAGGATTACAAGTATAAGCATCGGTGCCCAGCCAAAGGAGAAATTTCAAGGGATGAAATTTCACAGGGGATGTCACAGATTCTTAGAGGCAGTATAAATGATCCAATGGAAATGGAACCAGCATATATCTACCAGAAAATATGTATATACTGCTTGCCGTTTTCAGGTATTATGATCTAAATGAAGAGAAGGTTGACGTGATTATAAGCTCTTTTCTAGAGAAAGAATGAACAACTTTAGTAAGATATAATTAAATTTACTAAATTTACAGGAGGTTTTGTATTAGAATAATGATTTCTTTTATTCCATTCAATCAGAAAGGACTAGATTTCACTCCCAAGTCTTAGATTACATGAAGACTCAAAAAGGTAATTCACTTCAAATATGAAGACTTGCAGAGTTTACTCCTTTTTATAAAAAAATAGGGTCAGAATTGATATATTTTTCTCAACTTGATAAAAATGAGTGATAGGTAATATAATCCATGATTAGAAGAGGAATTTTTCTGTCACTTTTCTGAATTGTTTATGAAACCATTTATAACATAACTATGCCCTAGGGGCTTAGCTTTCCAAGTTAAAAATACGCACAGTAAAATTCATGAACTGATCATCTTTTTTTTAAATTACACATTTAAACTGACTAAGTAACAATATCATGTCCTGTAAGTTTCACATTGTAGTAATATTGTGTCTTTTTCTCCTTGACAATGATTCCTGTAGGCATGATTACTTTTCTTAAAGTATTTTTAAAAGCCTATTTCTGGTTCAGCATACATAAAAAAAATTAAGATTTTTGCAAGTTACTAGAGAAGAAATGTGATATTCAAACATCTATAGGAATGACAAAAAAAAATGTGAGCAAAAGCAGTTCTTCCCAATCACTGGATTTGGAATTCTGAATTGGAAACACACATTATTTGATTCCTGAGGAGTTCACACTATGGAAAAGAAAAAAAATATTCCCTGCATTGTTTAGATAACAGAATAGTTAGATCAGGTCCTTGTGAAAGGCGATTTAGTAATGGGCAACTTCCAAAGGAAGAAAACGTACTCATGAAAAAAAAAAAAACACATATACTCAGAACTTTTGTTCTTTCATTTAAAGGTAAAAGGGGGTGCATACTTCAGATTTGGTTTTCAAAATCAACATGTTCTTCCCTTGCTCGAATAAATGTATGGTTTCAGCATTTTGTGGTCCTAGACATGCCAGCTCCTAATGAGAGCGCTGCAGCCCCGGACAGATGTGAACTGTAGAGACTGTGGTCTCTTCTACAGCCTCCTAAGCTTCATCTGCTTCCAGAGTGATCACCAGAATTTACTCTCTCCCATGGACGCCAAAGCAGGGCGACACCATGAACTAATGTAGAGGGAATTCACATAGACGTGAATACGTGGATATGGATATGTGTGTGTGTACATACATCTCCATGGGGATACATGAATACGAACTCTACACATAGTCACATGTAGAGGGGAGGGCTGGGGTGGGGAGAGACGGGGGAGGAAGAGGAACTGTCCTCATAATCTGACTTGTGGAATGGAAACCCCTTTGTATGACTCCGTTCAAGTTTTAAAGGAGGTGACAGGAGCCATATTTGAACCTTTACTCTTTGGGGGTGGGATGTGGGAATAGTATAATGGTATTTGGACAATGGTTGTTACGTCACCGTGAAATACAATAGTGAGATGTGAATCTTTTTGAGAAGGTACTAGTTTTACTTCCATATGTTAAGGAAGGACTTTCCAGGGTTAGGAGAGACGCTACAAAAAAAACAGCCTATTGAAATTCTAACGTGAACCCCGCATTAATTGTAGAGATGGTAAATTTCTGTCATTCCGTCCTTAATAGCATATTTTCCCCAAATTGCTAGAAACACAGCTTCTCCACTGGCTGTGAGCCTGGTGTCTCACTGCCATCTGGAGAATTTGGAATCAAAAACTTAGGCACTGACAAAAATATCTACCATTAATTTGTTGTGCCAAACTGTTCACTCCATGGTAAGTAAACTCCTTGAAGGCAGGGTAGAAATCCGCCGCTATAGTGCTTTCCCCCAACAAAAAATAGAACTGGCAAGAGCAGAAATTAACAGTAAAATATCATCATTAAGTAATATCATTTATTGCTAACCTACACAGAACTCTGGTCTACCCTTAACGTATATTACATGATCGTTCTACTGTTAGCAAATGAGCTTGGTTCATCAGTAATGCTGATAAGTCCACGTTCATCAGTTTTATTTCGTTAGGAGAGCAGAGAAATATAAATTTTAAAATGTGGGATTAGTAGAATAGTGACAGAGCACATGTTTAGCCAGAGTGAAAGCCTGAGTTCAAACCTTAGTACTAACTTTTAAAAAGTAATTTAAAAAAAATCTCAGGCTGGCTGCTGGTGGTTCACACCTGTCATCCTAGCTACTTAGGAGGCTGAGATCTAAGGATCACAATTTGAAGTCAGCCTGAGCAGCAAAGTCTATGAGATGTATCTCCAATTAACTAACAACAACAACAAAAAAAAGCAAATGAAAGAGTTGGAAGTAGAGCTCTGGCACAAATAGTAAGAGCACTCTCCTTGAACAACAACAACAAAACCCCTCAAAGATAGAGCCCTAAATCCAAACACACACACACACACACACACGCACGCACGCACGCACGCACTCACGCACACATGCACGCACGCACGCACACGTGCACGCACACATGCACACACACAATCTTAGCATAAGAGAACAAGGTATTCCAATAAACTTCTTGTAATCAAGAAAATATTTCATGAATTAGTTTGGAAATATGAACAGAAAAAAAAATAGGTGAAGATTTGAAAAGGTTGGAGAGAAGGAGAAAATTAGGTGAAGAAAAAATTAAGACCATCTTTCTAATTTAAAAAGTCGATTACTTTTCAAAAGACTACACAGCCGAAATTTAAACGTGCACATTCTTAAATACTTTGAAAAGAAAAAGGAGAAATGCCTCCTTTGAGGCAAATAAATGTATTTAATGCAGAATCTAAAGTGTCACTTTCTTGAGGGTAAAAGGCAGTTAGGAGGAGGTATGGTTGTGGGGTTTTTTTGTTTTGTTTTTTGTTTTTAATACATTTCTTATTGTGAAAATACTGTACAGAGGGCTTGCAATCACACGAGCAAGGTGATGAGTGCGTTTCTTATCAAGGATTGTTCCCTCCTCCTCTGTTTGTCCCCTACCATCCCTTCCCTCCCACGTCCCTTCTCTTCCCTTCTCCCTTTCCTTTCTTTTTTTTCTCTTTTCTTTATTCATCAATCAACACCTCCCCAACTCTACCCTAGGCCCTCATGACCACCATTTTGTTTTTTCTTGTATGAGTTCAACTTCGAATATAACTGAGATTCCATTTGTCTGTCTACGCTTGGATTATGTCACCTAACGAACATGCTGCCCTCCAGATCTACCCCCCCCCCCGCCCCGTTGTGGAAAATGACAAGGCTGCATTATTTTTGAAGGCTGAATAGTATGAGAGAGAGAAAGAGAGAGAGAGAGTGATATATCCTTTCTACATCAATGTGACTATGTGTGACTACTTTAGGCTTCAGTGGACACAGCGCAGCAGATATCTTTTCAACAGTCAGGTATCATTTCCACTGGATATGTTCCCAGAACTGGGATTGCTGATCTTTCCAGCCTCCCTTTTGTAGACTCAGATAAAGGCACAGGAGACAGAGACCGTGGAAGGTCCAGTCCTTTGCCCTGGTGGTGGGGCCGGGGAGACAGCAGTGTTATAAGACAATGTCTCCCT